TCAAATCAATCTTATTAGGTTCTTTTTTGTTGTTGTTTTTGGTACCAGAGATTGAACCCAGATGTGATTCACCACTGAGCCATATCCCCAGCTCTTTTTATTTTTTGAGACAGGGACTCCTAAGTTGCTTAGGGTCTTGCTAAATCAGTGAGGCTGGCTTTGAAACTTTCAGTTCTCCTGCCTCAGCTTCCTGAGCCCCTGGGATTATAGGCCTAAATTTTGATTTTTGATAACTGTATTACCTATTTTTAGGGTTAATTAACTTTTCTAATCCATGATTACATTCTATGGATTTTTTTCTTAGAATAATTTTAGTTTACTAAATGCTCATCAACAAATACAGCTCAAGCCCTCAAAACATTAAGTACTTTTAAAAATATTTATATTTGGAAGGAACTGTTCTAGATATTTCACAGATATTCTAATTTACTCCTCAAAAACAACAGAAGTAAATATAGCCATCCTGGGCTGGGGATGTAGTTCAATGCTGGAGTGCTTGCCCAGCATGTGCAAGGCCCCAGGTTCAATCCACAGTACTGCACTGCTCCAGCACACACACACCCCCACACACAAAAAAACAGTCCCTCCTTCCATATATGATGGGATTAGACTGGTTCCAGTAACCCACCTAGTGCAGCTCTGGTCCACCCCATTATCTGGGATGCTCAAGTTTATTATATAAAATGGCACAGTATTTGAATAACCTACAGAGCTCCCTTAAACCTAAAATCATCTTAATTACTTATGGTACCTAATACAATGTAAATAGTTTTTAATACTGAATTGTTTAGGAAATATAGATAAGAAAGTCTATACCTGTTCATTACAGAGCAACCTTCCCCATCTGCCATCTGTGGTTGGTTGAATTCACAGATGTCAAAGTCAAGATAGGGAGCCCAACTGTACTATTAGTATTCATAATTTGTGGGTGAGAAAATTTTATAGAGTATCTTATCTAAAGTTAAGCAAGTAATACAGTCTAGATTTAAGTCAGAATTCAAATTAATTATTTTATCCTTCACTGTTATTCCTTAAAATACAGAAGTGCTACAATCCTTTGCAATCCTCTATATTCTCTGGCTCACAACTAAAAGTATTTATTGAAATGTAATTTGTATTTGATGGCTGTTTAACAAAACAGTTTAACTAGTGAGGAATCTTGTGGCTTCCTGAAAATTAGTATCAAGAACGACAACTCAAAGAAAGACAGCTTACAAGGGGTATTTCAGTTTCCTTAGCAACTCAGTTTTTCTGTATCAAATCTAAATAAAAATGACTATGATTTCTGTGGCAGAACAAGGTCATTATAATCCCCTCTTCCTCCCATTAGCTGGAAAGTAGGCAAGGGATTTTACAATCTTAGGAGAGAGGTATCATGTGAGATCAATTAAATTATGGCTCCTGAACTTCTTTAGAGAATTCTGGAAAATAATTTCTCACCCTTCCAGCCTCGCCTTTGGAAAATAAATCAACATTTGTCCAGGAACCAATCATTTTCAGTGCCGGAGTATCTATTTTCAAATACTTGGTCTGAATATCTATCATCCCAGAGTTACCAACAGTAGCTGTTCTCCATGATTTATGAGAGATTAACTATACAAAGATTTGTTTAAAATTTGAACAAAGATAACAACAAGAATTATTTCCTGGAATAACAGACTTCATTAGAAAGTTTATATTAGCATCAGCAAGCACTGTAGGAGCACCATTATGGACTTAATTCCTGAATACTATATAGGGAAAATTCTAATGATTGTCACAGAAAAGTTTCAAAAAAAAACAAATCTTTTTTTCTGACATAAATGAGGTGAGTCTCAAACTTTTACAGACACATACTGCATTAAAAATTTTTAAAGCAACTTAGGAGACCCTGTCTCAAAAAATAAATAGGGCTGGGGATATGGCTCAATGGTGAAGCACACCTGGGTTCACTCTCTGGTGCCAAAAACAACAACAAAAAGAACCTAATAAGATTGATTTGATTAGCTAAAAGCCATCAAAGTAGGCACTTAGTGACTGGAGTAGTTTCCTATTGATACAAGTGAATCTTCATATTGTGTTTAGTTACATTTTGGAGGCAAAGTGATGGGAATTAAAGAATTGAAAAATTGAGGCTTATAAATTTTTAAAACTACATTATGGTATGCATGCAATTTTCTGGACTTTAAATTTAGTCAATTAGTTTCTGAGTAGCTACTATGAAGAGAAGCCTAATCCAGTATTCAAAAGATAAATTCAGACTCAGCACTGAACTTTACAACCTGGAACTAACTATAGTAAGAGCTATGAGTCAGTATTCTCATAAAATAGCCCTAAACATCTCAACTAGTTCCATAACTGTTTATTGAGTATCATGTTCCCCATATAAAGGTTAGTTTTTCCTGTATCTTATTAGAAATCTGTATATTTACCATGGGAAATGTCATTTCCTCCTCCCATTTACAGATTTGCTCCCAATTAGGTACTTGCCACTTTAATGCATTCTTTTAATAGCATGTTTTCTGGTTTATGTGGTAATTTATCTGGCAGGGCCTTATCTGAACAACGAGCTTTGGCCCTATTCTCCTGAAGAGAGGAGTCAACCTAACTTTTATAAACTAAGATCCAGAATGGGCTTTTGGCAATAACTGGTAAGTGCAGATCTAAGGAGGATTTGTGGGCGGGTCACTAGTCCAGGCTATTCCAGATAACGTTCTTCAACCTAGCAGCAGTATGGCAGAGGAAAAGTCTAACCCCAGCCCCTTATCCTGACCTATTGAGTCAGCATGGCCAGAGCACAACCAGAAAACAGCCCCGTGGATCTGTGGGGCGATCACACTGCAAGGCCAAAGAACGGTCTCGGCGGCTCTTGGCTTTTAAGAACCTCGGCGGCGAAACCACCACAACCCCTCATTCCTCAAACTACCGTTTGGCTTTCACTCAGGGCCCCCCATCCCCGACTGCAGACTCCGAAGCGATGTCTCACCAGGCCCACTCTCCCTAGTTCCCTGGACCCTCTCCTGGCATCTCTTCTCTCTTGGGGCGCCCTGTCGCCTGCTGCCCCAAAGGGTGGAACTCACCGCTGCCGCGGCGCCAGTGAAAATGTCTTCCCCCTCTGTGTCGCTGTCCCCACCTTCGGGTTCTGACCCCCCGGCTGTCCCCTCAGACTCCGCATCCAAGCCGGGGAACGGCGGAGGGAGTCTCTCCGAAGCGCTACAGCCGCCACCTCCCGACGCCATCTTCCTCCACCCGCGGCGGAAGCCACAACAACAACTTTATAGAGAGAGCGCCGTGAGCAAAGCGTTCTATCGGTGCGAGGAGCGCAAGGGCCGCGACAGACCCTGCGGGACTGGAGAGGCGGGACCCGGGCTCCGGGGGGGGGGGGGGGGCGGGGCCGCGGATGCTGCCCAGCAAATCCCGGCTCCGAACCGCGACGCTGCGCTCTTAACAGGGAGGGCCAAGTGGGCAAAGAAGGCGGAGCTAGGGGCTGCAGGTTCCTGAGGCCCTTTGTGCTGTGCGTAGCTTTATCTAATAGGTTTCTGAGAATTCGTTTGAATAAAGGAGTCTAAAAATATTAGACTATCCATTCCAAGCACAGTACCCTCACAGAGATTCAATTTAAAAAGTTTTTTTTTTTTAATTGAGGTCTCTGAACAGACTACAGGAAAGTTTTATCACTCTTTGGACATTCAGTTAATTTGTTCTATATGTACTGAGCATGTACTGTGAGCCTGGCACCTCGCTGTGCTTTTGAAATACTGAAATAAGCTCTTGGACCATTGGGTGCTTACAATTTAATGAGAGAGGCAGCCATGTAAGTCAACAATTCCATATGTTCATGCTGTACTGTATGCTGGGGGAAAAGTAAAAGAAAGTTTTATCTGCTTGGAGAAGTCAAGAGGCCTCACATACGGTGTGACACATCATACTACTAATTATGGCTGGAAGGTTAGAATTATCCTTTTATTTGCTGTGGAGTAAGGGGGTGGAATAAATGACAGGGAAATTGTTAAACTCTGAATAAAATGTTCCTGGGACCCAAATTATTCGCTGGTTGGTCATCCAGTCTAAATCAACTAGACAAACAAGACCGGAATTTAAAGATATGGGACATGTTGTCATATGATGCTGCTGCAAGATACTCCTAACTTTATTTTCAATAGAGATGAAACTTTCACCAACATTGACAAAAAGTTTTGTTTCTAACTGCAAATTCCTCAACATCGGGTTCACTCCTTCACAGGTGTGTGAGCTGTCCAAGGGCAGGGGGCCATATCTTTGTAAAGACGTGGTGCCTACATATCTCATGACAAATTAAGTACCTAATAAATATTTGAGCTTTGGATGACGGGATGGATGGATAAAACAACATCGTCAACCTTGTAACTGATACCCATCACAGTTATAAACACCAGAGGACTTAAGATTTTCTTTTTAGGGTGGCGACTTCCATTATGTCACTGTTGGGCACATTAAACAAAGTTCTCTCCTTGCAAGTCGTCTTTGAAGGCTATTGGCAAAAGCATTATCCGTGGCGGAGAGTTGTGCTGAATTGAGTCCACAGGAACGAGAAAACCTAAAGGTTGTCCCCTTCCCACCGCCATGCTTAACTTTCCTTACTGGACTCCCAAGACGTCCCACTTCGCCGCAACGGAAACCCACTTCCGGCCTGATCAGGAAGTAAGAAAGAGTTTGGCTGGAAGCAGCTCCCTTAAAGAAATAGCTGTAAAGAGTCTTCGTGTTAGAAACTTCTTAACTGTAACTTTAAAGCGTGTCTGTGTTACAAAACAAGTTCTCCTGTTCCCTACCTCTTCAACATTCATCTTTAGTTTATCCCGGGTGCTGAGTGAGGCACTCAGTGACAGGTAGCAGACCGTTACATTCCACCCCCACCACGAACTACAAATCCCAGAATACAGTTCGCTGTCTTCCAAAGAAAACGTCCCCTACATCCCAGCATGCAATACTCCTCAAGGGTCGCGAGGAAGTTTTCTTGTCCCGCCGAAACCGAGCAAAGCATGCAGGGGCATGTAGTTCTTACGTTTCCCTTCCCTAGGTCCTTCGCGCTTGTCTGTCCGGTCCCGCCTATTCTCTGCTCCCCTAAACCTTTGCACTTGTCTTGACCATTTGAAGATCAGGAAGTTGATAAATCCTGAGGCCTGCTGCAGAGAGACGGTGGCTCAGATAGGACAGTCGCCAGGAATGGCGGAGCGTCAGAATGGAGTGGGTGTTGGGGCTGCTTTCTTGGACGCTGAACAGAGCCCGGTGGCCCTTAGGCCTCTCTGAGCAGGGAGCTGCCCGGTGGCCCTTAGGCCTCTCTGAGCAGGGAGCTGCTCGGCGGCACCGGATCATGGAAGAGAAAGCGCTAGAGGTTTATGGTAATTAATTTTACCCAGTGCAGCTTTTGGCGTTGTTATGTGGAATTGGTGGGGGAGGCGAAGGGAACAATGGCCTCACCTGAGGGCTGGGAGTGGACACCTGTTTTTTTGCCGGATCTAGTGGATGGGAAGCATGGGAAGCCTTTTCTTCGGGATCCTAAATCACACAGAATGGAAGTCCTTCTAGCAGCGGGCTCTTCCTAAACTTGGGGCAAGCTGAGTCTGGTAGTCTTAACCGGCTTTATTTTTCTTCTTTGCCATCCATGCCCTAGTGCCTAGTGTGGACTGAAATTACAAGAACTGTGGGCAGAGCAGAGGTCAAGGGTGCTCAGTTAGGAAGCAGAGCTGTCTTGATTACACCCCTTGAGTTTTCTTCCTTCCCTAGCTCCTGGACTCGCACTCTCACCACTTCTGTGGGCACTGCTATGATTGGGGACTGGCCCAAGGTCACAGCCACTCTTTTATGACAGATTCAATACCCATAGGTCCCAGAAGACCACAAGATAGGCTTCTTATAGCAAGGCCTGGAATTTACAGTTCATTAACACAGTCAAACTGTGTTTTATATGTATGCATACATATATACACACATATATGTGTTCTTCACTGTATATATTTAATAGTCCCCTCTTGGGACTGTCTTCAATATACAGATAAAGAAACAAAGGCTTAGAATGGTTAAACAACTACTTGGAGGTCACACTGTCAGTAAGGAACTAAGCAAAAATTAAAGCCCATGTCTTCTTATTCCGAAGGTGCACTTTTGCACTTTTCACTTCACAATTGCTATTCCCTGCTCTCCCTCTCTCCCTCCCTCTCTATCCCCTCTCCCTCTCTCTCCTTATGTAGAAAACCAAAAAAACTCCATATAAAAAGAGATCTAACTATAACAATACAAATGTAACTGGGGCAAGGATATAAGCTAGTAGAAGAAAGTGAGGGATGGGAAAGACCTTTGGAGTTAGTCTGGTTTACTTTTCTCTTGGTAGAGGCTGGAATACTTAACCCCAGCCAAATGGTAATTATGGGTGTACTGATCTCCACAAAGCAGATGAACACATTCCTGTCCTGCCAAACCTTTATCTATAGCTTTTAGGAACTGCAGGGCCTTGGAGACAAAACTTTGGAAGACAGATGATTCTAGTCCTGAAACTTAAGAGACCTATATATGCAAAAATATAGTATGTAGTAGAAGGCATGGACTTCAAAAAGAGATATAGAAGTTCATGGGAAGATGAGAGTCTCTGAGGGAATCTGAAAAGAATTTAAAAGAAGGAGCCACTTGAGTTGAGCAAGAATAGTTGGGACCTGAATATGTAGTGGGTCAAGAGGGCATTCTAAACCCAGGAGACTGGAGCAAAAGTATGGAGATTGGAAGATAACATAGCTAGGGAAAAGGAGATAGATGGAGCTAAAGGGCAGGTTTTGAGGTTACAGGTGGAGGTGTGGCTGAATGTTTTAGATAGGTTGGAATTGGATACTGAAGCTTTTAAATATAAATGAAGACTCAGTATCAGTGCAGAGCCGTGGAAAAATTTTAGACACAAGGAATGTGAGGAGAGCAACATTGATTTCTTTTAAAATAAACCAATCCAAAACTTCTGAAACCACTAGAAAGCTAGAGAAGTTAAATAAGGAGTGAGATTTAACTTCAGGGTTTAGAGGCATATAAAGAACATAGTATAAGCCAGGCACAGTGGTACAAATCTGTAATCCCAGCTATTCAGGAGGGTGAGGCAGGATTGCAAATCTGAGGCCAGCCTTAGCAACTTAGTGAGACTGCCTGAACATTAAAAACAAACAAACAACAACAAATTATGTAATTCAGGTGTAGAGCATCCCTGGGTTCAATCCCCAGTACATGTCTCTCCCCATCCCCCCGCAAATACCAAATAGTACAACTTGGCCAAATGAACCATACAGGGAGAAAGTCTGGGGAGGGTTAAAAAAAAAAAAAAAAACACTTTCAAAAAACTCTGTTTCTATAAATCCCATGATAACACAGCTCCTGTAAGAGAAGCTATATCGTCTTACCTGCCTATATTTTAAAATTCCATTTCTCTTTAAGAATAAGCCCAGGAGATAGCTGGGGAGAAGGTAGAGTTTGATTGATTTTTCCCAGTTGTATTTCTGATTACAGGAGAGCTATAAATAATAGAACAAAGCCTGAGGCTTAAGATCATCAAGCCTATCCTACCTAAAATTCTACTTTTATCCTTTCTATATCATTGTTTCTTTTTTTATCATTTTCTACATGTAGCCTCAGTGAGAAGGGAATCTTGTCCACTCCATGACCAACCCAGGCTCCCACATTTTGGGGGTGGGGGGTACCGGGTACTGGGGCACTTGACACATCCCTAGCCCTATTTTGCATTTTATTTAGAGACAGGGTCTCACTGAGTTGCTTAGCACCTTGCTTTTGCTGAGGCTGGCTTTGAACTCACTATCAGGAGCTCCTGCCTCAGCCTCCCGAGCTGCTGGGATTACAGGCCTGCAATACCACACCTGGCCAGGCTCCCACATTCTTAGTCCCATTCCCTTCTGCTTAAATTTACCAGTATCCCCCTCCCCCTTTATATTTTCAAACCTCTCTTACTGTGATCCTTCCCTTTGGGTATATAACTTACTCAGATTTCTTCTATCCTCGTCTTTGTTCTAGCTTTCTTGTAAAGCTAGAACTGGTCTTTCTCTGCCCTTTTATCCCCACTGCCAAGGCCCTAGGAACACATTTTCAGTTTCTACTTACTTCTTTTGCAAGCTGGCTTTGGCCCTTTTCTGCTGAAACTGGTATTATTATTTTTTTTAATGGTACTGAGGATTGAACCCAGGGGCACTTTACCACTGAACTATATCCTCAGCCCTTTTAATTAATTAATTAATTAATTATTTTTTGTAGTTGTAGATGGACAGCATGCCTTTATGGTATTATTATTTTTATGTGGTGCTGAGGATTGAATCCAATGCCTCACACATGTGAAGCAAGTGCTCTGTCACTGAGCTACAGCCCCAGCCTCTGTATTTTTAATATTTGAGACAGGGACTCACTAAGTTGCTGAGGCTGGCCTTGAACTTCTGATCTTCCTGCATCAGCCTCCTGTGTTGCTGAGATTACAGGCATGTGCCACCACACCTTTTGAAACTGCTTTCTTGTAGTTGACTTCCTCGGTGACAAATCAAAGATCTGTTTTAGCTCTTGTCAGCTTAATTCAGCATTTGATATTTCTTCTAGCTTTTCTTTCTCATTCTAATCCTTAAATGTTCCCAAGGATCCCATCCCTAGATTTCTTTCCCTTTATACAAATGATTCTCAAACTGAGCTACATGTAAGATAACCTGAGAAATTTTTTAAACTCTCAGTTCTAAGACTGTACCCTAACCAATTAAATCAGAATCCCTCAGACATTAGTTTTTGTTTCAAGGGCAAAGTTCTACTCAGTCTCTGTGAATCCCATGGGTTCAACAACCAGTCTAGTTTGGTATCCTTTTAAACCCTATGGCACAGTTCAACATTTGCTGGAAAATTCCATTGGCTTGCCCCTTACACACCTCAAAATCACTATGTATCAATTGTCCCAGGCCCCACCCAAATTTCTTCCTTGTTTTGTTTATTTTTATTCTATTGGTGCTCTCTTTGACACTTAGACCTAAAATCTGAGTCTATTTCCTTGTCTTCTGCATTCCAAGGGGTGACAAATGCTGTTGATTCTGTCTCTGAAATTACTTCTTCATCTGTCCCTTCCTCTGGTACCATCATGTGCTGATTTTAGGGCCAGCTTTTTCAGTTAATATCACTAGCTCTATTCTTTAATTCTGAGTCTGGTAGCTGGAGGATGAATCACCAGCTGACAACACAGTGCTATTCATGTCCCTTCCTTGTTCTCATCTTAAGGACTGCCTGATGCCTGTAACCAGTTATAAAAGACCCTTGGTGGTCTGGCCCAACCCTTATATTCTAATCTTATGCTGGATTCTAAGTAAATGAAACTTGACATATTACCTATTTCTATAGGCTTGATTTCAAATTGCACTTCTATAAAGCCTAAAACAATATTCTTCCAACCTAGTAATTCCTCTTGAGCTCCCATAACATATTTCCCATTCTTATTATATTCTCTCTGCAATGTTGCTTCCAAGAAACTCAATGAGGTCTACTAATGATCCAAGAAAATAATTGTCTCAAAAGGAAACCAGTAGTAGAAATCTGTCAGAAGCCTAAAAATTGCAGTAATACTTGCTTAAAAAGAAGTCAGTGCTTAGAATTGGCAAAATCATTGCTATTTAGAATATTCATATCTTAATGTAATACCTTGTCTCTGATGATTTTTTAGATTTGATTCGAACTATCCGGGATCCAGAAAAGCCCAATACTTTAGAAGAACTGGAAGTGGTAACAGAAAGTTGCGTGAAGGTTCAGAAGATAAATGAAGAAGACTATCTGGTTATTATCAGGTTCACGCCAACAGTACCTCATTGCTCTTTGGCAACTCTTATTGGTAAGATTATGTGTGCATATGTGTAAATTCTAAATTATTTATGTGACATTGACTCAAAATAACAATTTGTATCATGTATCACACTTTATGGTTTACAGAATATTTTCATTTATTCTTCTTCTGTCATTTTCACAATTAGCACTTGAGACAGTTAAAATACTATTATCTTCATTTTATAGATGAGGAATTGGAAACTCAGAGAGTTCAAATCACTTGCTCGGAATCCAATAGACAAGAAATGGTGAAGGTGAGACTTAACCCCAAGTCTCCTGACTCCAAATTTCTTTCTCTAGTTATCTCTCAGTATTTCTCTTAGGTATGCATGGTCACAGTTGACAGAGGGCGGGTATAGGATAGATGTTCTAGTTGTGGACATTGAATGGCTGCTGTCAGACTAGCCCTGGTGATGCCATCACCATCTTCTCTGTTCAGCTTCTCTGTTGCCTTCCATATAGTATGAGCATGAAAGTGTTAGAAAGGTTATGTTTTTGTTAGTTTGTTTTGGTGGTGTTTGACATTGAACCCTGGTCTTTCATATACTCTAGAAACACTCTTCCACTGAGCTATTTTCTGAACCCTCAGTGCTTAGAATTGGCAAAATCATTGCTATTTAGAATATTCATATCTTAAAGGTTTTATGTTTTGGTTTTGTAGTTATTGGGGATTTAACTGGAGGTTGCTGTACCACTGAGCTATATCCCAAGACCTTTTGTTTTGAGACAGTCTTGCTATTGCTGAGGCTGGCCTTAAACTTGCAATCTTACTGCCTCAGCCTAGCTGGGTCTACAGGCATGTATCAGTGTGCCTGCTTCTGGAAGGGTATTTTTTGAAGCAGGGTATTTTTTTCACTTGAGGCTGCAGTCTCAATATTTTGGATTAATTAGCAGTGCTTTGAAGATATATGTTATTATAAAGAATTTAAAGGTAATATAAAGGAATATTCCATTTGGTTTCTTTGAATTTGTACTTTTTATAAAGAATATAAAGGAAATTTATTTCAAACTAAATGTTCCTCAGTAGAGGATTGATTAAATAATTAATGATAATAAATATAAACAAAGGAATACTATGCAGTTATAAAAAAGAATGAAGAAACTCATTAATAATCAGTACTTACCCTTATGACATACTGTTAAGAAATAAAAATAAGCATAGTATTGCTACTGTTTACAGAAAAAAGGGCAAAAATAGCCAAATAGCCATATGTGGTGATACAAGCCTGTAATCCCAGTGACTTGGAAGGCTCTGGCAGGAGAATTGCAAATTCAAGTCCAGTCTGGACAACTTAACCAGACCCTGTCTCAAAATAAAAAATTAAAGGGCTGGGGATGTAGCTCAGCGGTAAAGCACCCTGAATTAAAGCCCCATTAGTACTATACATTCACCAAAAAAAGGAAAAAAATAATTTATATTTGTATGTATAGAAAGCCTCCATAAAAAATGAATAGCTATGATGGGTATAAGTGGGTAATAGTGGTGGTCGGAACTGGACAGATGGGGGACAGGATGAGATAGAGACTTTATATTGTCTTATGTTTAAATTTTCTGAACCATGGGAATAGATCATTTGTTGAAAGCAAACAAGTTTATAAAAATTGAAAAGGTGAGTAGTTTGTTATTGTTCGCACCATTGTGATTTAGTCCCTTTCTCACTAGTTGACTTAGATTCCTTTTATTAGTGGTTTCCAGCATATAAGCCATATCTTGAGGGACTAGAAGTTCTGTGTATACATAGGTGTTATTTCAGTTATTAAAATTTTAATGCTAGGGGCTAGTAGAGCTCTCGCCTAGCACAGGCAGGGCCTGGGTTCAATCCTCAGCACCACAAAAATATAAAGGCATTGTGTTGTGTCCATCTACACCTAAAAAATAAATAAATAAATATTTTTAAGAAATTTAATGCTAGGAAGAGTATTATTGAATGCATAGTTATTTTTTGTCAATAGAGAATTTCTGAACCAACAGATATTGGATATACTGCTACCATCTTGAGGAAGAGGGGGTATCTTAAAATACTTTGACAGATGAAAGTCTTTAAAATAGCATCCAAAATAGCAAATTCATTTTTAAAATTTTTTTTTAGTTATA